TCAGAGAACAAAACTCCCTCAAAATCATCCACGTGAGCTAGAAATCTTCTCCACCATCTCAAAATCATATGAGCGTGATAAGCTTCTCTTTGTTCGAAAATAGGAGAATTTCGCCAAAAGGCAAGCTTCCACTCGAGAACAACTATATTTTCTCCATGAGTGTCTTCGCTAGCATGTTCTGCCAACACAACCAAACCGTCCAGCTCAAAGAACAAAACTCCATCAAAAATGATCTTATTTAAGTTGGGAAACCAATGTGACAGACAAAAAGATGTAGCAAACAAAATAATTAAGATATGTTACTAAATAAAAATATCCATAGGCTACTATCCTATATGTATCGAAATAGAATTTATTTTTTTTTACCTCCAAGCCTTTTAACTAGCAAACTAATAATGAACCATAAACAAAATTTTCCTATTTCCCAAATGGTTAGGTAACTAAATCTGATTTTAGTAATGCGAACATTCCCATTTACACATTTAGAAAAAAAAATGAATAGCTCGGAAAAATCCGTATTTTTCAAATGAGAAAAAAATGTTTTCTCTTCTTTATTTATTTATTCTAAATTACTTGATTCTGGCTACAAGATTGAAAATAATTAAAGTTATTTTGAACTAAAACTTATATTTTCATCTTATAGACCCATTACATTATTGACATGTATAAAAGTGTTTTTATTCCAAATATCTTTTCCATTTCGACTATATTACGTCCCACATAAGATACAAATTAAAAATTCCTTTTATGGTCTACCATTAAGGTATTTGTATAAGTTATTTTCACTTTAAAAAAATAATTACATTTCACCGACAACATATCCTCACTGACTAGACTATATATGATGCGAACTTTCTCGGTATCGAGATGAGCAATTAGAAATGTCAATGATTGTAAAGAAAAAAATTTTCTTTTGCTTAATTCACTGTCCCTTTTTAATGACAAAAAATTCAGTCGTACAATCAAAAATTACCTATAGAAAAATAATGGGAATAACTTTCCCTTCTTTTTAAAAAAAACTGTTCTTTTACAGTAAGGTAGTTTATCATGTATTATGTAATACACATTAAAACTAACATTGGTGCTAACAATTAAACACTGAAACATTTAATATATTTAAACATAAAATATAAGTAAAAAGCAAAATGAAATTTTGATAAAGTATTTCGAAAGACTATCTTCCATTTTCCTTTAGACGATTAATAATATAATGGATTATCTGATGATGAGATATGAGAATGGAGTATTATGTGTATATTTTCATAGTGAATGTATAAATGAATTAGACGATTGCTAATGTTAAACTATTAAAAGTAGTGAGTAGGAAATAAGTTTTATCATAAGTCGAACTTATACTCTTATTTATAATTTTATTAACGGATTTGTGAAATATGCTTTGGCTACCTAGTTGTTTTTTTTAAATAGGATAACTGATGCATGAATTGATCAGTTTTATATTAGAGGTAATCATATTAATGGTAAAAGAATGAAATACAATAAGACTACAGAGCGTTAATAATATTGCTACTATAAATTTGAAGCGAGGATTAATAGAATCAAGGAGTAACCAAACACATTCATAGTTAGACAGTTTGTCACCTATTTTTATTCTTATGCTTAAACCCGTTAAATAACGAAAATAAAATATTCATAAACTATTACTACATCTCGAATCTTTGTTAGGGATTGGGGTTTCATCATCATTAATCTTAGATTTCTAGCCTGAATTGGTTGGTATTCCATTAAAGTATTTCTATTACTGAGTATCAAGTTAGAATTCAAATTAGTCTTTCTTCTCAGTACTTACTAATTAAAGCCCATCATTCTTTTAATTTTTGATTCATTGAAGGGTATCAGTCACAATAATGTATTCCTGGTTCGGTCGTCAATGCGTATTTCAAAACATGATAAACTTGTTATTTAGTGCTGCATGGTGCTTAATGGTCCTCCAGTTAATCCTCGACAGTGAAACTATCTTCACACTGTAAATCGTTTCTTTATATTGGGTTTCTTCAGCATGAAATATGACACTATTTAAGGCACTATTAGTAATTCAAATTCGACTACGAATTATTTTCTATGGAAGAATTCTAACTGAAATTTATGCCAGTGTTATTACCATCACTAATTCCATAACTTAATAAAAACCTAAGAGACGACGGCTATCTAAGTTCCCGTTTAAAATACAATCTCTAGATATTTAAATTTTAGTTATCACTCATGAACTGATTTAATACTACATTGGACCAACCTAATAACGTGTGAAAAACATTTTGACGTATACAATATTTTATTGAGATCACGAACCGACCTAATTTAGACAAGCGCTCGAAAGCATAAAGTACTGGACTACTGGTTCATCCTACAGTTTCGTCCAAAGTGAAGGGCCTAATACCAAGACGAAACAGATACTCAGTATATCTTTGTTTTCCGTGATAGCCTAACTTAAGTCAACCTGTTACTGCAGTAAGAAATAATAACTTCCACAAACCTCTATATTAATGCACTAAGTTATCTGATCCATTGAAGAGTAGAACTTTATATCTTAGATTTCACTCAGCGTTACGAATTTTGTATCCATTTCGAATGATGATGAGGACATAATTGATTATGCTAATATTGTTTACTTGAAATAGATACTATAAGAACATGTCATTTAAATACAATTATGGTTAATTTATTTGAACTTCATTTCATATCATGGCTAAATTATCTTAAGTGATTAAAGACTATAACTTGGATGTGGCATATGTCATGAACTGAAATTTTACGCAAAGCCATTGAAAACTTAAGGAAGCTGACGTTATTTTGTTATACGAATCGCCTTCAGAATAAACAAAAATTTCACGAAGAACTGCTTTATTTAAAAGAAAATTTATGACATCTTGTATACTGAACTTTAACTATCCTACTCTAATTATCAAGTCTGTAATACAAAGCGTTTATGTAAATGATTTGACGTTATTTACCACAAAGTTATGACGGTTTAGGCAGTTCGAGACGATTGGTTGTTAAACAAAACAGGTTATTGTTGAAGCACTTAAAGTATATCCTAATGGCAGAGTACAAATTTTAAATTAAATAAACTAATATTAATTGCAATTTGATGACAGATTTCCATAATTTTGTTATATTACTGAGTTTATAGGTTAAGTAATTTTAGCTTGATATTTTGTGTCAAGCTCTTCAAATGATCTATACACAGAGCTTAAGAGTCTTTGGTGTGAGCGAAATCCCAGTTAACATGACAGATGAGAATAGTGTGTTCTATATGTATTTTTAATCAATAAATGGTTTAGGATGGTTCCCTTCTTATTTAATTGTATATATCCACTAATTTTCATTTCTGATTTAGTAACTTATCAAATGTTTTAATGAGAACTAAAAACGATCGTCTATTTTCAAAAAAAATCGATAAGTCTGTTGTAATAATTTTGTGTTTTATGAGATAGATCAATACGATGTCAAAATTGTTTCTTATTTCAAGTATGTTTCAAAAAAACATGTTTTTAGATGTTGCTTCTAGAAGAAATAATATTAAAGATGTGACTAAAAAGTACGGATTTACAGTATTTCAATATCAAACAAGTAGGTGCACGATGGAATTAATCAAAGTACTAGCTGATTTTTTTAAAACAAGTAGTACAAATATGAACAGAGGATAAGTTTTAGAAACCATTAAATCAGCTACATTGTTAAAAGAATACCACTTAAATATTATAAAGAAGTGTAAATATAGAAATAATTACATAAAATTTGAATCACTATGAATTATTAAGAAAATTAACAAACTTGAAAATCTGTGACGAATCATGATAGTTAAAGATTTTAATGATGTGAAATCTGGTGTAATGTTTACTGATCATATTATGATAAAATAGTTTGACTTATTTATTGCGCCTTATATACAAATATATTTCATAACCAGGAAGTTTAAATTCTGTAGAATATTTCAAAGGGTTTAAACAGTATTTACAAGTAATGTTGAAGACATCCTTAAAGTGAGGCAGAAACACCAAACGAAATTATTTACATTAATACCTCCAGAAATATGACAAAGCAGATATAATCACCGTCTTTTTAATAAATGAATTAAAATGTAGTAGTCTTTTTTCTATTGTATCGGTCAGTTTGTAACGTAGTTTAATCGTCTTCTTGAGTAAATGAATGGTATTTGTCCTAAAAACTAATTTTATCATTTGAAATCAACTATAACGTCGGACTAATATTACTTGACGAATGGTCAAAAATCATTAGAAAGTTGTTTTGTTCTTTTCTGAGACTGGATCATGAACTTGTCATATTCAAGAACTAATCTAAATTATTTGAGTCTCACACACTGAATTAGAACTCAGTGGTTTGTGAATCAGTAAAGTAGCATTAAAATTCTACCTTATAATACAAATGTAAAAGCACGATGCCTTATCAATCAAATAAACATTAACTAAGGTCCTATTGATATTATTTTAAGTCGCACATTAGTATACCTCGTGACATAGGGATATTGCTGAAGTTTATTTCTATTTACATAACTAAACTAGTTCCGTAACATATTATCAAAACTTAGACAAAATTATTTTTGTTGACTGAAATTTAACCTATTCTCACTATGTACAGAGATGACGATTGTAGTTGGGAAAAAGCAGTAAAGGCTATGAAATGCCACATCGCCAGGTTAAAAGCTTCATTGAATCAAGCTTTTTCTTTTAATATTCAATCACGAACTCGGTACAGAAAGTTTAATCTACAAATAAAGGTCAATTTAGTCTCTATCTAATTACTGGTTCTGATTATGTTTGAAAATATTTGCAAGTTAGAAAGCGAAACTCAGATTTTCATAAATTATTCTTAAACCCTAACAATTATCTAACAGTTTACGCTCTTGGTTTATACTTTTCTAAATGGACATGATGATTAATTACTGAACCGTTTTAAAATACAATTTATACTACTTTTATAAAAACATCATTATAAGGATCCAATTACTTTTAAAAACTTACGTTTACACTCATTAGCTGATTCAGAAGTACCTCTTGCCCACGGTCTATCTAAATAACCAGGTGAACAACGTTCGCAATCAGTTCCTTCTGTATTATGTTGGCAATCACATCTAAGTGGCCCCCACTGAGATTTCAACTGACCATTATTATCTGTTGTTACTGCTGTACCAACTGTTCGGTCTCTGACACAACGGTTAGCATGTCCATTACACTTACACCGACCACCGATAGATAAATCAGAGAAAGAAAAATGAACAGGTGTTTTACTCTTAGGTGTTTTTGAATAGTGCATATCAGACTGATATAGATGTTGTGACATATCCAGTGTACCTGCCTCGGACAAGACAGGATTTGTGCCAAAACCGCCTATACCAGGACTGCCACTAACACGAAATATGTTTGTTGGTTTTAGTAAACTTGGGTTTAAGAATAGTCCATTTGAATCATATTGAACTTCATCTCGATATTCCGGGAATCTCATAAGACTTATCCTTAAATCCGTCATAGTCATCCAATCGATCAGTGCTGAACTCCATGGTTGCATTGATGGTCGTCCAATAGTTGTGCTAAATGCGATAACATTCGATGATTTTCCTGAATTATCATGTACATCTTGTGGTTTCAAAGCAACGCATAAAACTTCTTGTATGTTTGCTAAAGAGATTTGCGCATTATGCTCATTACTCGTAGGCAAATGAAAAGCTCGATAACAATCAGTCGAGAAATATTGCCACGGTTTCCATGTTACACCAAAATCAGATGACTTATATAAAGCAATTGAATCAGGCAATTGACCACAAGGTTGCAAAGAAATATAATAAACTTCAAAACGTTTACCTAGTGATAAAGTTAGATTTACTGTGTCACCTGGTAAAACAGATCCTGAAATCCAACATGTTTCATTATTCATTTGATGTCTATCAGTTAGTAAGTGTGTTCCAAATTTCTCACCTTTACCACATGTTTCACACTTTTCATGTCCCATTACATATCTACATATTTCTTCTGACTGATCAAATTGACCACATGTTGAAGTTGCTTTAATATCAACACTTTCAGCAATATTTGTAAATGGTGGAGAACATTCAATTGCTTGACCTTTATTATAACATACAGATCTTGTCGCTTCATAAATTACTTTAATATTTGAATCTTTTTCTTCAGTATAATGTTTTTGATTTAAATCAGAATGAGGATTTAAATTGTTTGCATTAATACAAATATTACTGAAAGAAAATGTTATCCAACTGATTATCAAAATATGCAACATGAGTTATTCTCTTGAATAATATCGATTTCACAAAAGAATTAAAGGTTTATTATTATTATTGTCAGTATGAATATATCAATTTCGATTTATATTAACAAATTTTCATAGGAGTCCTTTCTCTATTGGTAATAATGATGGTTTGATATAATGGGCATTTTAATGATTGATATAACCAATAATACTTTTTGTCGTTTATTGCTTGTTAACTATTTCCTTTCTGTATTCAATAAAACAGTGTAAAAAACAAACAAACAAACGAAATAAACTAAATAAAATAAAACTAAAAGTTTTCCCTCAACAAATAAGAATTAATTTGCATAAATATAATTTTAAGAAATAAACCAACTTTATCAATATTATCATTCGTCATCAAAATTTAGGTTATATTTTAACAAAGATGAAATTTGATTGGCTAATAAACTGAATAAAAATTTCAACACAATAGGGTGACGGGCGGGCGGTAATTATATATGATAGGATAAGATTAATTTAAATAAACTATTAAGTATGGATAAAATCAAACTTTTAAATTAAAGCACATTAAAAATGAAATAGTAAATGATTAAATTATATAAATTAATTTAAAATACATTGAACCTTAATATAATTGAACAGTATTCTCATTTATATTATTTAAATATATTTAAAGAAATAATTTGATTTCTACTCAACAACAACAACAATAATAATAATAAAAATTCTGAAAGACTTATAATGAAAAGAACGAATTGATTTTAAGAAAAACACTTTATTGTTGTTGTTGTTGTTGACCTCCTCCCCTCAGTAAATTAATGATAACAAAATCTATACTGATAGAAATATATCTGATTTCATGCTGTGAATAACTTGATAATAAAATGAATTATAATTGATAAATAAAATCATCAAATTATTATATCGGATAATGAGTTTTAAGATTCATAAATAATATATATATGTATATATATGAAGTTTCTCAAGATATTTTTGATTGTTTTATTATTTACTAATATGTGACTAATTAGGATGTAAGATTTAACTATAATTTTTTAAAAAAATAGATCAAGTTCAAGTAATCCTATGATCCAGATTTTCGTTTGTATGAAAATATGGCTTGTCAGAATTTTGAAGGGGAATTTTTATTGATTTCCAAGGATTTGCAATCAATTTTAAACTTTATACTATATCATTTTATAATGAAATGAAAAAGCTTTGGAAGTAAAGATGACGTTTTAACAGATTATAACAGTACAATGTCATTTAATGCAGTCATTATCACTGCATTTGCCGATATCTGAAGCTACAAATTATATATACTATTAATAGAAAAGCTGAAGAATTTCAAAATTTTCACAAGGCTTTGACCAGTAGATGGACAGAGTCGAACATAAGATTAAAATAAATGACTAATGGCTAATATTTCCTTTAAGGAACATATAATTTCCATAATCGGATGCCATAGTAATATAGACACAAACGAGTCAGAAGTTTAGTTATCAAATAAGAATGCCGTCCAAGATTTTTGATGTTTGTTCAATGAATAACCACCCACAACAAAATAAAATTCAAAGACTTCGGACATGAAACACAATGATATTTTAATATTAAAGACCGCTCTTCAGTGGGGCTCAATCATTTAAGTGGGTTTGTTAATCATAAAAAACCGTAAAAATATACATTGTATTCTACATTCAAGTAATAGTAATTTGACTATATATATATGCGGATGGAACTAAGTCAAGTTATACTCTATAATGAACAAAGACATTCGTAATTCTTATTCAATTCACCTAATATCATATGTGATCATTTCTAATTTGCCTGATTATCATACGATATATACATTTATATAGCTTCAGGAGATAAAATTCCTAATAATCAGTAAAACGTTTCGTATCTGAAATCCTGTTTTGCTTTCAAATCTTTTGTTTACCTACAGAACAATCAATTTCGCCTCTGAAAATTATATTGCCAGATTGTTTAATAATTAAGGATTCACTAACTGCCTACTTAAAATGCAAAAAGGTAGTATGAAATAAATACTTTTCAAAAGATTTTCGACGATTTTTTTGTAGTTTCGCAAACAATTATGCTAAATTTTATTTAGACGTAAAAGGGCAGGAAATTACCATATTCATCATCACTCTCGATTAATTATGTTTTCACTCACTCACTCATAGTCTCTTTCTATCTTTCATTAGTTTCTGAATTCATTTAATGACATCAACCATTCACTTTCTAGAAATATATGTATTCTCAGTTAATATTAATTAATATAAGTTGATTTCCTGGAATTCTAGTGAGAAGCCGTGACCAGTGGAGTCTAATATGTGTCGGCTGGAGACAGATTTTTACCTATGACAATGGATAAATGGTTGCGCAAGATCGATTGAAGTCAGACATTAATACCGTTGGATGCCGGCTCAATGGTCTAGAAGTTAAGCATTCGTGCGCGAGATCGAAGGTCCTGGGTTCGAGTCCCACATGGAGGATTATAGATGCGCACTGATTAGTGGTCCCATACTGGGACTGAACTGCCGTCCAGTGCTGCTAGGTTTACAGTGATGGTCTAGCTTAGATGAACTCATGAATTCAACTATTAAAATACTAGTTTTTTCAAAATGTTCGTGTTTAGATTTAGTCTGCAATAGACAAACGCAAAGTACCATAGTCTTTATCCGACTACAACAGGAATGAGTAATAAACTAATGAATAATTTGACAAGATCTTTTTTATAGTTAGAAGTACAAGTATTGTATAAAGAAGATTATTTTATATAGTAACTATACGTTAGTTCATATCATTGAATTTATTCATGAAAATACAATTAACGGGTCTTTAAATTGTTCCAAACAGATACGTTTACTTTCCATTTTTAAGCTTTTAGCATGGGAAGCTTTTCCCATATTAACCTGTTTTTATAAAATGGATTCTCTCATATAATCGGTGATCAATGAAATAATTTAGGCTTCTACTCGCCTTTATTGTTAAAAGTTTTTTAATCATAATGATGGATATTATTAATGCTGGATTTATAGTGCTAAGTGCTTATGGAGATATAAAAATCGACTGAAATTTAGTATATTAAACGCCTTGACAGATAAATTCTGGATAAGAAATACGGACGAAATAATCTTCATCTTTATGTAGAGCGTATCTTTGTTTCTGTAAGTGACTAGTATTTTCATATTCGAGGCCTACAGTGAAGTTTCCGCCTATGATGGCAAAAAGAAATCACATCAGGTAGGTACTATGACTACGAACTTGACGGTGATAAGGACAGGAATATTTTTAAAATTAGGTTGCAATATATTTAATGTGAGCATGTAAAATAACCTTAAATGTAATCACATATACCTAAATTGAACTATTACACTTAGCTATAATAATACATTTATCCTTTTGTTTGAAGCATGAAAGAGAAATCCTAGGCATAGATTAATGTTGAATAAAAATCGTGTCAAAACGTTTGATAAGATTATCTAACTTAATATATTTTAGAAGAGAAACGTTCTCAACACCGTGTTCTAATTTGGATACATGAATAAGAAAAAAGCCGGTAAAATTTATGATATATAGAATAATTGGCTGATGTTCTATCAAATCCAAACAACATTGGAAACAAAAACCACGGTGTGGGAGTAGTAACAATAGTGGGAAAGTACATAAAGATTAAGTACATTAGTTACAGATTAGATAATGAGAAAAAATCATTATGTTTATTAATTATAATTAGCCAAAGAGTGAATATATCTCTCTATGTACAAGGATCTCTATTTATGTCATTTTCGCAATTTTTACAAATCTTAATGAGGAGCAAAGATGGATGGTGGCCAGTAGTGTAATCCAGGACTCACATTTCGTCCTATTTGGGACTCGTCAGCTGGATGTACCTAACAGGACTCAGTAACTAATTGGATAACGCAATGGCGTATGAAGTGAACGCTAGTGGCCCAGAGTTCAGGAGTAAACATCAACTCCGGGATGCAGGTACATCTAGTCGTCCAGCCGACGAGTCCTAAATAGGAGGAAACGAGCGTTCTGGATTCCAGTCCTAGCCACCATCCATCTTCGCTTATAATGGTTATGACTTAAGGCAATTCGAAGCGATTCACACAGGATGCACATATGCCATAAGAGAATGATCAGTTGTAGTCCAAAATATCAACAGGAAGATTCAAAAAAATAATACAGAACGATCTTAAGGAGAAACACTTAATTGCTGATCTTTTACAAATCTTTTATTAATAACTACATTTGGCAGATTTAACCAAACTATACTTTCGTTTTTTTATTTCTATGCTGACCAACTTCTGGTGTCTCATAAATCACTAGCTTAATGCACTTTATGTTTTCTAGACACAAGTTCAGAAATAAGTTCGCAACCACATTGACAAAATTAATTTCTTTGTTTAACATTCCATCTAAATTATACAATGATTGGTTTTAAGTCAATGATGTTTGAAATGTAATTTAAAACGATCAAA